GGTTTGCTTCTTATATCTTTATTCCATTGTCTTCAGTGTTGCTAGTTAGATGCTTTTTAACGTTTGTTTGTTTGTTTGTTATCTCAGCAAGAGTTTGCGGATAAGGCCAAGGCAACGATGGATAATGCGGAACCAGATCGGAAGCAATGGCAGACTCTCTGCAAAAACTTTCTGAAAGGAAGATCCGAGCAAGTTTAAACAATGAACAAAAGCTGTAGAATTGGTTGGAAAACTTAAAAACAATATCTATGTAATAACAAGATTAAGGGCAATCACAAATAATCCTTTATATTACAGTATGTGTCTTTAAACAACAACAAAAAAATTTTGGATCTTTGAGTTGAAGCATTCTTAGACATTGTGTACAAGTAAAAAAAAAAAAGAATTCTTGCGGTTGCGATATTGGATTTAGTTTATGGTCAGTGATCTTCAACAGAGAAATCTGGTTCTGGAGGTTTCTGAAATTTCACCAATTCTTTAGTAGATGACAACAATAATGTTGATTTCGCAGTCCGGTTCTTGTGAACGCTACGAAGTGCATTTGCCGCAAACTTTGAAGCCAAGAATGTTGCTCTTATGCTATACGGACTTCCTCCTGCTATAACTGATGCTGCTGCCGCTTCTTCTTCTTCCTCTTCTTTTCTAAGTTGCTCCAATTTCTTCCTCTTTATGTACCGTCTCCATGCGGCTTGCATGAAGCAAGCTGCCCAAGTCCTCCATTGCTGTGAATAGAATCTGAACGTGTGTTGTACTTGTCTGCTATGGAGTCTCCTGAACTGGCTCGCCACGAATTTCAGCTCATCGGCTATCAGAGCGAAAGCTTCTACTTCGGTTAAGGCCTTCACGGTTCTTGTTGAGGAAGGGAGGTTAGAACCGGATTTGGGATCAAGCGCCCATGTCAAAAGCTCGTCACCACAGAAATCTCCTTCTTTAAGTAAACTCCGGTTGTAGAATCCGCTTCTCCCGCCATCAGTGGTTACACTCTCGAGCCTACCACGGATTATGAAGAGCATCTCATTGACTGGATCTCCCTCACGAACCAAGTAAGACTTCTCAGTGAACAGACATGGCTTAAGCCTCTCACAGATTGCATCTAACAGCCTCTCATCCATATTCTCAAACAATGGAACCTTTACCATAGGAAAACGAAATTGGATTTAAAAGACTTTCAAAAAGATGTTGAATGGAGTGAAGTACGACAAGAAACATACTCTTCGGACTAAGGCGAGACAGAGATGACGTTTGATATCTCTTCTAAGATCCTTTGGGAGGTTCTGAACAAGATTCTCTTCATCAACGCCACGCGTCTCCAACCACTTGTACTGATCATATCGTCTAACCCGTTCCCGCAGTTCTGGTGGAAGCATTCGATGATGCATCCACTGTTCTGAGTCACGTCTTTTGACTCGCATTTCTTCTAACCGGATGGTAAGCGATTGAAGATAAGTCTGTCAGGAATTTGTCAAAAACGCCAAAGATCACATCATTTTTCATACTCACTCACGAAAATCATTGAACATAACAAAAGGAACAAGCTCCCTTCTTTACCTGCATGTTTCCAATGAGAAGGGCAAAGAGTAGAAGTCCAGCAATAGCGAGTGTTATAGAGAATATAACCTCCCCAGGGTATGTGCTGGTTTCAAGCCCTTGACCAAGTGTACTGCAAGGAGAATCGAGGTTACTAATGCGAAAGAGACTTATCGCAATGACAATATGAAACAATAGATTCCTGCGTATTACCTAAGATTCTGTAGTCCCCACCACAAACAGAAGAAGTACTTAGAGACAAAGTTCTTAGACGAGACAATGCCAGAGGAGAGGGCTCTTAAGTAGATTCCAAAATCAAAGGGAGGTTCTTCATCCTCGGGGACATTGACAGGGCACTTTAGCTGAAGATACGAAACTTTAATATTGTCCCAAGCAGCATAACCTTGCATGTTTTGGTTACCACAAAACAAGAAGTTTCTGGTACAGTTCTGGTTATTGTTGCAAGCCTTACTCCAGCAGTCATTATTGCGTTCTAAGGCAAGCAAATACCACAAAGCCCCAACAATCTGCATACACGTAAACGTATGAGAACATCTTTCTTCAAAGATACAGTATGGTACAGAGTAAATTGGATACTGACATGACTTGCGAGCATGTAAAGCAATAAGTAGTAGGCTGCACCCGCCCAGGCAGTTTCAGCGAAGACCCCGGCTGTTCTCTTCAGTTCTGAACTTAAAGGATACATTCGAAGAAAACGCGGGATATATTGAACTAAAACGATATATCTAAGTGCTTGTTTTGTCGCCAGCACATTCGCACCCCTCGAAGTATAGAGGAATCTCCAAACTATAATCTGAATAAATAGACGAAAATGATTATAAACCAATTAAACCTGGAAATCTAGAGAAGTTTGGGGGTTACATTCTGTTGTTATACCTGTGGAACCGGAAGAACGGACAGTAAATCAATGATGAAATACTGTTGCAGATACCGCTTAGCTATCTGTGCAGGGTCTATAACAAGTTCTCCTCGACCAAAAACCCGTGACGAGGGAGCAACATAAGCTGTTCTAAACCGTAGAGCCATATGAAAGAGATAAAACGAATCTATAACTGTCCTTATTGTAGTTACTATGATTGCCAGTTTCTGATCTATACCAACACATTTCGCTTTATCATTAATAAACGGAAGATACAAGAAGAGCGGATCAACGGATACTGCGAGTATACACGAAGCGACGAAAAACTTGTTGCAGAGTAAAAGAAACTTGTCTTGTGGATCAAATATCTTCTTCTCCGAGACTTCAAGATCTTCTGGAAACACAGCACGCGAAACACCGAGCCCAATCGATCGACCTATAGACCAAAGTCCCTCTGATCCTTTTCTAAATCCTTTCTTAAAAGATCCAGATGATGTTTTGCTTCCTTGAGTAAAACGATTAGGTCCTTGTATATTCAATGTGCATTTGTTTAAACCCGTTTCGGAACTTTGCGAGTACCTCGAGTCCATACTATCTAACCTATTTGAATTCAAGAAAACTCAAAAAGCTCAATACTTTTCATACAAATTCTTTGAGATTCGAAAAATTGTTATATACCTCACAAACTTCTCGCGTTGGCCACTGATGACTTGAGATTTGACTCCTTTTGGGCCACAAGTATCGAACATACTCTTTAACTCATGAATCCTAAACCTGTTTTGAGACAAATTATCATCAAGAAAGTGAACCCTTTTCAGCTATAATTTTAGGAGTTAGCTAATTGGAACAAGGAAGAGTTTTTTTTTCAAATCAAGTACTGAAATTAGGTTACTTGAGCTAATTTATCATTGACCCGGATTCTAAAAGAGGGAGAAATTCAAAACCCAGAAACAAAAATCGAAACTTTAGCTACACAAAACGGACCAAGCTCATTTCAAGAATAAACAAAATCGAATCCAACGTCGAGCAATTGAAAACTCTAATCAAGCTCAGTGACAGAGATCAGGAGGAACATGAAGAAGAAGAAGAAGAACTTACAGTCGAATCTGACGGCGAAGAAGCAGAAGAAGAGAAGAGCACAAGTTGTTAAAAAAACGGGCATAGAAGAAAGTGAAGGTGTCTTCTTCTGGAAAATTGACTTTTTTTCTTCTTGCTGTCCGGGTCGGGTCCCACCCGTTTCCTCTGCTGTCTCCTTTTCTCATCCTTAAATTGTAAAATAGACTACAAGATCTTAATTTTCTCTACTTGTATATTTTTCTTTGATTTCGTTTACTAATTAATTTTTTTTACGTATATTAGATTGTCCGACGCCATGCATGAAATAAATAATTTATTGACGTATCATAATTTAATCAACAATTATGATGTATGTTTACTAAATTTTTATTCTCATGTATGTGTATATATATATATATATATATATATATATTTTTTTTTTTTTTTTTCTTTTCTAGATTATGATGTTCCTTGAAAACATTCAGCAATATCATTGATATTTAGGCATTAGTGAATATTATACCATGTTATTTCTTTAAAGAAAATGATCTCTTTGTTAGATCTTATATGTTTATATATATAGAATCTCTTAATGTCGAATTACATCCCACCATGTAAAATTCAAAAATAAACTCAAAACTGAAGTACAAGTTACGATTGTCGAGTTGAAATAACACTAGAAATACTCATAAAAACCTATATTTAAGATTGACCATCCATTTGTTAGTCTTCCGCATAGGTCACTGGTCACATGGTGGTCAAGTTTTATGTGACCAAAGTGCGCTTGGTTAGCTGGACATAGTGATACCTTTCCAGGAGTATCGTATGACTCGTCTCATCACCAACTGTCTTTATGCATTTTGACGAGATGCACAAGCTCCTCTTTCCTTCAGTGGTGGCTATTTAAGTTCACATCGTAATAAGTTGATGGTTAATAAATATCCCTAACATTTTTCCCCCAACCTTTCTTTTATATAACCTAAAGGGTGATGGTCTACTGGTATCACAGAGGTTGGTTTCTTTGTGCTCCGGATACAAACGCCATTTGATACGAATGATTATATTTTAAATCAGAATATCTAAAACTGATTTTGGAGCGATTATGGGTCGAAGGTCTGGAACTCTTACGGTTTATCAAAAAGAAAAAAATTACAGATATGGTAGTGAAAATCACGAGGTTGTGGATGTACGTGGGTTAGTGCCTTAAAGTAGGAAATTTTGGAGAGTTTTTCGTTGAATCGGATGAAATCGATGACCCGGATATGGATGATCATTTCCTAGGCATGGCCAATAACAAATGTTGAGAACGTCACCGTGTTGTACTACTTACCCACAACGAATGGTGTTTCTTTTGTTTGAGTTTTAGTGGGAGTAATTGAGAATAACATCCATATCCAATTTGTCCAAAAACCAGAAAATTCCATATCCAATTCAATAAACAATGAAACATCAATATAAATGTTTTAGGTACCAAGAAGAATAGACGTACATTGGTAGGAAACTAAAACATTTTATATTTGTAGAATAAATTGTTGACAGGAACAAAAAAATAGTAAATTAAATTATTTGTAAATGTCAAATATGACATATTGTAAATTCTGATAATCATTATTCTGCAAAACATAATGCATAACATGAAATTTAAACTTCAGGAAACTCTTCTTAAAAGCCTTAAACGAAAGCAAGCCCAATGACAGCAACAAGAGTCGAGGCCCAGAAGATGCCAGTTCCAGCAACCAACCCAACAGCAGAGCTCTTGGCCGGAGCTGGCGCAGGAGCCGGCATAGAAGTAGATGACTTTGGAGAAGGAGTGGGTGGAGCTGGCGCTGGAGCAGCCGAAGTAGTAGATGGCTTTGGAGGAATAGTGGGCGTAACAGCCGCTGGTCCTGGCTTTGGCATGGGCTGGTGGTTAGGTGACTGAACCACGACAGTCACTTTCTCACCTTTAGCACAGTTACCGGTCGGTGCTCCACTTATGAAGAAGTAAGGACCTGAGACATCGAGTTTCACTGTTGTGTATCCGTCTTTGTGTTCTTTCAAAGGCTTCTCTGTGTTGCATTTTTCGTAGTTTTCTTCTGTTACTTGTAACACCGAATCCATCTTTGAATCGTATTTAAACACTGTCACATGCAAAAATAATGCTTAGCTTACTGTCTTATGCATTTGTACTAACAATAATTATATATTTTAAATGTGTTTTAAGTTCCTTAGCTTGAATATATCTAAATGATTTGGATTATTTACATACCAAATAACCAAACCCAACTCAAGACTTATGCTATCCAAACCAAAACTCATCATGACCAAACTATGGTACGTAGCACCAATTTTTGTAAAAAAAAAATCAACCTATGTGAAGTTTTGTTAAAAATGCTTAAAAAATAAAAACCATTTTTTATCATAATGGACTTTTGTGGAAAATTAAACCATGGTTATAATAGTCACTTGCTAGAACTAGCTAGCATGTAAATCAAAATATTCAAAACCAATAGAAAAAACGTCAAAAGTGTAATTTTAGAAGAAATAATTAGATCCGTACAAAGAGCGTCTCCCACTTGGAACCGGACGGACTCAGCCCAATGGCTGAGAGTGTGGTTGGGAGATTCTGGAACCTTCCATGCGTCCAATGATCCTCCCACTTCAATGATTCTAGCCTCACCAAAGTGGTAGAATGTGGTAAATAAAAGAAACATTAGGGGCACAATGTCAATCAAAGACGCCATTTTTTTTTTCTACTCTTAACAAAATTTACGACTAATTCTCTAATAGTCTTTTTCTCTTTAGACGAGAAAAAGTTTGGCCGTTTTGGTTTGGAGCTAAATGGGGTTTATAAAAGGTTCAAGAATGAGGTTGGGAGGATCCGAACCAGATTTGGGGTGAAATCTGGTCTTGTTTTTAACAAAATAAAAATCTGGTCTTGTAGAAATGTAATGTAATCTTCCCAATTAGCCAAGTAATTGTCAGTTTCATTCTCAGTTGGATTATATTCTTCTTTTTATATAAAAAATGTATACTCTATTTCTAAATTCGAAGGCAAATGAAGATTATATGGTTGATCTTTAATATCATATCTTTGTAGTAAATTCTTGTATTTTGGAACTAAATCAGGTTTTCAATACAAAACAATCTGCTGACATATTAACAATTAAATTTGAAGTATACTGATCAGTAAAATAATATCATATAGCTTAATGAAAAAGTATTAGTACTTTGATATTACTATAGCAATTAATTAAATCGCGACTACAAAGTGTGGACTTCATGTAAGAATCTCACTTAATTAATGATATGAAAGTCTTGGTTTCGAATAGTGACACTGGATCATATGGTACAAAATAAGTAGATCGGGTTGATCAAACAAAAAAAATCGATTCATACGGGATAAGCAAATTATGGAAAATAGGGGGTACAAAACTAACAAAAATTGAATATTTATTCTAATACATGCGATGGGGGTAAATTAGTTGTTATTTTTTCTAACACTTTGAATGTCCAAATTTCTTTTTAATTGTATTAATCAATAAATTATCTAGTATGATATTTACAGAAAAATGAAACTTTTTTATAAGAAAAAATGTAATCGCATTATTTTGGAGATGGGTGTTCGGTCCGCACTAGTTGGGAGCAATTTTCCTTCAAAAATGCTAGTAGAGAAAAAGAAGATATATGTTTAATTGTTTATATATCTAAGAAAATGCTTCTATTTTATTTTTCTTTTATCAAATCATATATTTTATTTATGAATTTTTAGCTATTTTTTCAACTCATATTCACACAATACAAAACTAAAGACACTAATCCAAAATACTATTTAGTAAATATTAGTGAGGATGTCCCAGTAGCAACAAAATGATAAAAGTTAAATAAAAACCACTATTGTTAGTTTAATATTTAACATTATTTAAAATTATCAGTTCAATGGCCATTAAGTTCTGTGTTTCCAAATCTATATGTATCATTGTTGGAAAAGTATACATATCTTTTTCATTGAAAGATATATATAGTTTTCCTTTCTTTGATGCTAACTAATGGAGTCTATAATTTGTAACAACTACCGTTTTGGGGTTTACGACACACATTATCCTATCTTTGGTACATTTTTTTTTTTTTAATACCAGGAGGTTCTGGGCCAAAGCCCGTAATCCCCTCAGGCCCGAAAGCACATAATGTAATATTAGTTTCGTCTCAGACGTCACTCGAACAGGCGACCTCTAAACTTCGCCTCGGATCTTTATCAGTTGAGCTAACGACATTTGGTTATCTTTGGTACATTAGAAATTACACAAATGTAAAACTGTTCATAATGTTACACTAAGATGCATTTTCTCTCTATATATCTCTCTCCCTCTAAGAAAAAGAGAAAGGCCCACATTATGACTCACCAAAACACAATACATGAGAACCTCCAAAACCCCATCCATCCATCTATATGTCTCTTCCACACATGACACAAATATATATACATATACATAAGCATACACATACATATATCTATACATATATATGTGTATTTGTATAAAAATGAGTGGTAGTAACACGTCCTTCTTCATTCTATTGGTCTAACAAACCCATTGACGAAAAGGAGAGACTACATTGAAAGAGAGAGAAGACAAGAAATGGCAAGAACCCACTTAATTTTTCTTCTATTGGTGCTCTTATCAAAATCAACATCATCAACATCAACAAAAGAACAAGAGGAGGACAGGATCAAAGCACTCCCAGGGCAACCAAAAGTAGGATTCTCTCAGTTTTCGGGTTACGTGACAGTGAACGAGTCACACGGTCGATCACTCTTCTACTGGCTCACCGAGTCATCTTCTCATTCTCCTCACACCAAACCACTTATTCTTTGGCTCAATGGAGGTTGGTTTTTTTTTCTCTCCGCTTTCATTCGTATATTTATATCCACAAATAGCCTCTCTATTATATCTCCAATGTGAAGTATTCATTTGTTATAGCGATAAATTGATGAGAATAAAAATACAAAGATGTTTAGGAAGAATTATTATTAGATTCTCATAAGAATAATGTTACAAATTCATTGATATATATAGAGATAAAAGACTAAACTTAATTTCATATAAAAATAAATGTAAATTATAGTTTAGAAATAAATGTAACTATTCATAAACTAAGATATGATGTTCTTTTAAACCTTTCTCGATCTTCATGATTTCTATATTTTTGGGTAATAATTTCGACTGTCTATCACGGTCGATTTCCGGTTCTTCCAATGTATAGAGTATGTAAAACATTAAGAGACATAATTATTGTTTGATAATAACAAAAAAAATTATTAAAACAAAGACACCAGAGAAGTTTAAACATATATATAAACAATATGAGAAACTATTGTTGCGCACTGGTTATGTATATTAGTATATATAATGTATTTTTAGTTGACCAAAGTATATTTGCTTGTTAAGCAAATAAAAAATATAAATAATTGCTTGTTAGCCTATAGGTACTCAACATAAATCTTGTTAAAAGAATTGAGTTTGTTTTATCTACGATTCATATCACACCCAAATTCTTTCCTGAATCCGAATGATGATGCAATGACACCATTTCAATTCAAATTTGTGATGTAGTGAAAAAGGATTTTCATCATTTAAAACATAGAAGACGTCAAATCTCATTAACCTGATTATTCTTGAATAGACTAAAGTAAAATATCAACATAGATCACTACTTTATTTTTTGTTAAAGGGTTTCTATCAATACTTTACTGTTTTATCATTATTTTAAATAATGATTAAAGCAAATCGATGTCCACCAAAACAACATCAACAATCCAATATGACTCTAATAAGTGAAACATGCAATTGTTGTTTTAAAAACAAACAAAAAGAAACATGCACTTATATTTTAGTTTTTATTTTATTTTATTTTATATGAATTATTCCAATTCTGCGTGCATTTGAGCAAATGTCCACTTTCTCACTAAAATAAGCGTAGGGAATAATTAATAGTTGGAATATGCTCTTGGCTACATAAGCTCATCATTCAAAGCATGTGCATGACAACGACATGAAAACATGGATATACTATCTTTTTCATATAAATTAAGCACATACGTACAAAACTAAAGCAAATGTAACCAACCATTATATAACTAACTAAAACATGCACTAGGACCAAAAACATAAACTCTTTTATCTTTTAGATTCTATTATACTGAGTGCAAACTCTACGCATGATTCACCTGGTCATTTGAGCTGCGATTTCGGTGCTTCATATATGCAATTTTTGTGTATGTGATCAGACAATGAATATTGTAATTAAAATATGCAGGACCAGGCTGCTCGTCGATTGCTTATGGAGCTTCAGAGGAAATTGGACCATTTCGGATCAGCAAAACCGGTTACAATCTTTATCTCAACAACTTTTCTTGGAACACAGGTAATCACTAATTTAATTTCGACATGTTTCAAATTAGTTCTTTATTTGTGGAGTTACTATGTTTTAAAACTTTAACTATCGAATGTATTGTATGGAACTGTTTCTACATACTTAAAACTTTATAAGTTATAACAGTTTTGAATATGTAATAACAGAGGCAAACCTTTTATTTCTGGAATCGCCTGTTGGTGTTGGATTTTCATACACTAACACAAGCTCCGATTTCGTAGAATCCGGAGACGAACGTACAGGTCAGATTCAGAATGACCCCACATCGATAATGTGAAGGAGCCAAACTCATAATTCCTTAGTATCAATGATTTTGTTAACCTCATGGCCTATGTTAGAAATCGGTTTTCGTTGAATAAACATATTTGACTACTAATCTTCACATGAAGATTACAATTCTCAAGACTAGTATTGACATTAACCCGCTTGAAAATTACATAAGACTAGATAATTAAATTCAAAATTATTATTTGTGTTCTTTTTAGAAAAACTGATTAATTAATTAATACTCCCTCCGTTCTTATATAAGTGATGTTTTAAGAGAATGTACGTAGATTAAGAAATCATTTAATTTTTGTTTATTTCTAAACTAAAACATCATTTATTATCTAATCAACCAATAAAAAAATAATCTACAGAATATAAATCGTTAAAACCAATAAAAAAGTAATTAATTTTGCATTGAAGATTTTTAACGTCATATATTTAAGAACAAAATTGGAAACTTAAAACATCACTTATAAAAGAACGGAGGGAGTAGTGTAATTCATTACTTGTGTTGCAGCTCAGGATAATTTGATATTTCTTACAAGTTGGATGTCAAGATTTCCTCAGTACCAATATAGAGATTTCTACATTGTTGGTGAAAGCTACGCCGGTATGTCACCATGCATGCATATATATTATATAACATACTCTTAGAGCAAATCGGATTTCATTTGGTTTAATGGGTTTTAGTTAATCTTGTTTAACTAAATATATACAAACCAAGATTCATTTCTTTTAAGTTTAAATTAGGGTGTTTCCTTGGAGTAATTCAGAATAAATTTGGTTTATTTGTTTTTAATTAGTTAACCTGTTTTAACCAAATCTGTCAATATATATTAAATTTCTAACGAATACATTACAGGGCATTATGTTCCTCAGCTCGCCAAAAAAATTTATGAGTACAACAAGGATTGCAAAAATCCAGTAATCAACCTCAAAGGTTTCATGGTAAAACTAATTAAGGTCTATTAATCACATTTCCAAAACTATTACTCCATATTCTTAATAATAAAACAAATTAGGAAATTTATGTCCCTAATATCTCCCATGAAGGTTGGTAACCCAGAGATGGACAAAACCAACGACAAACTAGGGACCATAACGTATTGGTGGTCTCACGCTATGATCTCAGACGCTTCCTACAATTGCATCCTCGAAAACTGCGATTTCAAAGCGGAGAAATTCTCGAAAGAATGTAATTCCGCCATATATGACGCTGCAGCCGACTTTGGCGACATCGATCAGTACAGCATCTACACACCTAAGTGTGTACCACCACAAGACCAAACGAA